GCAGGGAACTGTCAGATGTGCAGGTTGGGTTTAGAAGAGGCCATGGTACTATGGATATTAAAGCCAATGTTAGATGGATCTTGGCTGTAGCAGAAAGTCCCAAAGGAATATCTATCTGTATTACATTGACTATGCAAAGACATTTAACTGTGGATCACAACAAACTGTGGTTAATTCTGAGAAGAATGGGAATTACAGAACACTTAAATGTGCTTATGTGATACCAGTACTTGGATCAGGAGACAGTCTTCAGAACAGAGCAAGGGAACACTGCCTGGTTCAAAAATTAGGAAAGTTATACCCCAGGGTTGTATACTGTCTCTTTAACTTTCCAGTGCATATGTGGAACAGATAATTTGAGAAGCTTGAATATTATCAGGAGGAATGTTGCATCAAATTGGAGATGTCACAACCTTGCTTGCCAAAACTGAGGAGGGCATGAGGCATTTGCTGCAGAAAGTCAAGAACTGCAGCCTTCAACATGGGTTGAAGCTCAGCATCAAGAAAACAAAAATTCTCACCCTTGGACAGCATCATGATACATGGTGAAGAGATTGAGATTATTAACACCTTCAGTTTGTTTGGCTTCACAGTCAACACTCTTTGCAAAGAAACTCTAGCAGCAAAGAAATCAGAAGATGAATTGCATTGGGAAAATCTGCTGCCAAGGACCTCTCCAGAGTACTGAAGAGTAATGATGTCAGTCTAGAGACTAAAGTGTGCCTGCTCCAGCCGTGGTTTTCACAGTTATTTGCTATGCGTCAGAAATTTGGGCACTTACTGCAGATGATAAAAGGAAAATTGATGACTTTAAGTTATTTTGCTAGAGAAGAGTATTTGAATATACCATAGATTGTTAGAAGAATAAACAGGTTCATCCTGGAGAGGCTGAAACCAGGCTGCTTCTAGGAGGCAGGGATTCTGAAGCTCCATCTGGCATACTTTGGGCATGTTCAAGAAGGGACCAGTCCTTGGAGAGGGACATCATGCTTGGGAGGGTGGAGGGATGGCACAAGAAAGGAAGACCCTGGATTAGGTGGATTGACTCGGTGACAGGGGAAAAAGGGGGTAGGTGTGTCAGAGACAAAAAGGTTGGTTCAAGATGAGCTATTGTACGAGTCACAAGCCACTTGACAGCACATAACAACATCCAATTTTTCAGCGGTCATATTTTGTGTATTTTCTTTTTAAAAAAAATTATAAGTAACTGTGATATGCTGTACAATATATTAACATTGTAGGACAGAATTTTAGGCCTTTATTTTAATAGAGGATTTTTTTCTTGTTTTTTTTTGTAAATTTTAATATCTAATAATTGTATCTAATCTCACATTCATAGAATGAACAAAAACCAAATTAAGCATCAATTATTGGTTTGACTTTCTTAACTTGGTATGACCTAAATGTCTTAGGCTTAAATGATCCATTTGACTTATCATAGAGAAGACTATTAAGTAGAAATAGTACAAAACCTTAATTATGAATTTATTTGCTAAAATAGCTCTAGATGCTTTGATATTATCGTCCTCCTTGATCTTTATTATTTTTTTTTCCTTCAGTAAAACCTTTTATTTGCCACATCTTCACTTGCATGTAGTTGAAGCAGTTCTCCAAAGTCAATCTAGTGGCAGTGTATTTTTACTGGTTTGTTTTCTTCTGAGATTGCAATGTAAGAATCTAGGGTTCTGGATTTTGAGTAATGAGGGTTTGGATAATGAGTAGTGTTATATAGTCTGAATCTAATGTGTCCTGAGATTTTAGATAGTGATTTTCGATAGTGAATTTAGTTAGATCAGCTAATAAGGTTTTTTTCCTGAAAATTTTTCCGTTTCAGAGTTTTAATTGTTAGAATTTTGATGACAAAGTATTTCTATTTTAGGCTGTGATGTGCTGTTGAGTCAAGTACAACTCATAGCAACCCTATGAACAAAATCTCTGAACTCTGCCCTATCCTGAGCCAACCTCACTGACTCTGACACTCCACCTGCCGCCATTGCTGCCATTAATGTGTCAGTCCATCCAATCCAGGATCTTCCTCTCCTGCATGGACCCTCTATCCTTCCACGCATGATGTCCCCAGTATTTTTATTGTTTCTAAGACTAGATTTTGAATTGATAGGCAGAAATCGATACTAGTGATAAATGAGCAATATCTGAGTGAAAGATTGGTTTTAAATGGTACTTTATTTGTACTCTTCACACTATAAACCTTGCATCTTTACAATCAACTTTGGGATTCAGATTTGAGGATTTGAAGGCATTTAGGGAGCTCTGGTGGCTTAGTAATAAGGAATTGTGCTGTCAGACCAAAGATAAGAGATTCAAATCCACCAGGTGGTCTTCAGATAAAAGATGGACAGTCTTCCTCAGGCTGAAAACCCACTTAAGGGTCGGCTATGATCATTCCAAATCCATGGTACATAACATCTGGTAGCATAATGTATACTGGCTGGAAATTTTGTAGTTCAAATTCAACAACCTCTCTTGAGAGAAAAGTGGACAGTAGATTTGTTTAGAGCCTTGAAAACCCAATGGATGGTGACTGTGTGTTGGAATTGTTTCATAGCTGATCTTCCAGGAAGTTTTCAGAGGCTGTAAATTGTTCAAAAGAGATTGTCCATCTTTCACCTATGGAGCAGCTGGTGGTTTTGAACTTCCTACCTTTGGTTTGGTAATTCCTTAGCTGGTCAGCCACCAGTGTGGAAAGAAATATCACTTAGATGAAATGACATAGTTGTTGTTGTTGTTGTTTGGTGCCATCAAGTCATAGACGACTCATAGCAACCCTGTGAATGAAAGGCCTGAACAATGTTCATAGAGTTTCCGGAATCAAGCCATTTCAGAAGTGGATGCCACTCCTGCTTCCAGGCTTCTTTTAATCAGGAAGCTCCAGCAAATACTGTCCACCATTGGTAACCATTGTCACATTTGGTACATCAGTGTCACAGTGTTCAGCATCACAGCAACCACGAGTTACCTATGCTCAGCAATGCACAGAACAGTAGTTGTATAGAAAATGTTAAAATTTCAACCTAAAATTTGAATGATACACTTCGTCTTTCTACTCTGTGATCTTCTTAATGTGCCATAACTAGTCACCTAATTTCTGAGAATTCTTCCTCAGCTGTAGAAGCTCACTATGACTATTCTTTTAGGAGTTGAACTGCTTGGAAACAGCAGCTGATCCAGTATTTGTCTTTTCACAAGTATTTGTCACAGTATGTCTTTTCACCACCCTCTCAAAACTATGAGACCCAAAATATGTACTTAAGAAGATTACAACTCAGTTTTTCCATAGGATAGAGTAGAACTTTGCTACAAAATTCCCAAGGCTGAAAATCTTTACAAAAGTAGACTGCTGTCTTTCTCTCAAGGAGCAGTGAGTAGGTTCACCCACCACCCTCTCAGCAGTTGGATACTTTATTCACAACACTAGGGCACAGGTTCAGTGTCAAGGAGATTTTTTATTTTCTAGTTACTCATTTGGCCAAGTATGTGCGAACAACATTTTCAGAAATCAAGGGGGGAGAAAATCCATTTTTTAAAGTTGTTAGTGGCCCAGTGTAATACTTGTTTTCATCAGTGTTTTTAGTTTTGGTTTTTATCTAACTGCTTAATGGTCATTTCACCCTCATCTTTGTAAATGTTAAATTTTTGAGTTGTTTGGTGATTCTCCCCCCCCCCCCGAATCTTCCTGATTCCTTCTAATTTACTATCCTATTTGACTTTTTTCTCTAGGCCCTTAACCAGTTGTTTGAGAAAATCATGGCTTTAGACATTGATGAGCGTCACCTACTGCGTCTTGGTCACGGAGAGGAAGAACTGGAGACTGAGAAAGATTTCAGCAGGTAAGCAAATAGAAGTACATTTTGAAAGGATTTTTAAGCACTGATTCTTTATTAAAGATAGACCAAGAATAGAGATAAAAAATAATCTAGTGTAATTCTTGTAGGTCCTAACATAACCTATTTAGATTATGTTGTTAGTTATTAAGTGCCGTCGAGTAGAGAACGACTCATTACGACCCTGTGAACAAAAGATCTGAACCCAGTTCTATCTTGTGCCATCCTCACACTTCCTTGTTAACCTAAATTGCTGGTTATGCTCTCCCTCAACTTCAAGTATATTTATGCCATTGTCTTCTCATATATTGAGCTGTTTCAATGAAGAGAATTATTTTTTGTCCCCCTTTTAAATTCAAATTACCATTTACTTTCTACTTATGGAAGTACTTTTTAATGTTACCAGTTAATGTCCCTCTAAACTGTAAGCTTTAGGTAATTACTTTTTCACACTTCTTACAAGTACTTAATTTGGCTAATATTTTAGCCATCTGCTAAGATGTTGGTTTTAATGAAATATTAGTGCCAAATAAGGGAAGTCTTATGTTTTGAAGCTGTATTATTTCTTACATTATTTCCATTATTTATTTACTCATTACCAGTTCAGCTGGACATTATAATGTTTTATAACTTAGAATTCTTCTTTTGGCATTTTAAGTTTTTTTGTTCCTTCGTAGTTGATTTATAATACTTTAATTCATTTCAATTTAAATCTATTTTTAAAGGTCAATCTTATACCACTATAATAATTAACATCTGTACGTATTTAATATAGTAAAGCTATTGAAGATGACCTTTTACTAACATAATCAGACAGCAAAAGAGCTAAAACGGATTAAATTAATTGTAGCATTTATTTTGTATTTTTATACTATAGAACTTTATGAATACTTGTTAATTTATTTTAAAAGGAGATATTATTGTAAAAAGCAAATAGCAACACATGATTATAAGTGTGTTTTGTGCTTCAGAGTTTTGGGAAATAATTTTGGCCAAGCCCCAAATCTGGTTAGTATGTAAATCCTTGTTCTTGTGGGTACTGTTGAATCGGAACCAACCCATAGCTGACTCTCCATCAGGTTTTCAGAGACAGTTAATCACATGGGAGGAGATTGCTCATTGCCTTTTCTTTCTGGCTTAGTCACAATTTAAAAAAAAAATAGTGTTTATTGTTTCAGGCTAAAAAGACTACAGTTTTCCCTAAAGAAATTTTAAACGTAATAAAATAATACAGAGTAACAGTTTTATTAATCTTAATTCCTCTAGCTCAAAACAGGTTTTTATTAATTTTTTTCCCCAATAACTTACTATATTTATGCATTTATTTATGGTTTTGTATATTTCTCTCTAATAATGTTGATATGTTAATACAGCCTCTGTCTACGCATACCTCATTTTTTTGCATTATCAAAGTGTTCAATGTAGTAAATGTTTAAATTATAAATAAGCAAACAGAAAAGTGTTACTTAACGCTTGTGTCCTTGAAAGTTAAAAAATTCTTGAAGACACAATGTCATCTTTTTGCTTCTTTTTTTAAAAAAAATGGCTGGAAATAACTTCCACAATTTTATAATAATCATTTACTTTCTTTACATAAAAGTCAATTCTCAAAACCTTAACATTCAGAACATAAAAATAAATTACAGCTTATCTAATTGTTGTTGTTGTTATGTTCCATTGACTCGCTTGCAACTCATAGTGACCCTGTGTACAACAGTCCTAAACCCTGCTCTGTCCTGTGCCAATCTCACTGTCTCTGACACACCTACCCCCAGTACCCCAGTCACTGAATCAGTCCACCTCATAGAGGGTCTTCCTCTCCTGCACTGTCCCTCCACCCTCCTAAGCATGATGTCCTTCTCCAAGGACTGGTCTCTCCTTGCAGCATGTCCAAAGTATGTTAGACAAAGCTTCAGAATCTTTGCCTCCAGGGAGCATTACACCTAACAATTCCAAAAGGCAATTATATAATAATTATTCATCATCTAAAATTTAGCTGACTCAAATGAGAAACATTCATCCAATGGAAATACCAATTCAAAGTACAAGTGTATAGACTGATTTCATATTTTTCTCTTTTTTTCAATTCTTTTTAAAAAAGTGGGGTCAGGACAGACATATTCTAACTAGAACACAGACCTTTTCAAGCAACTTGGAAAAGAAATATCATTAAGGGCAATTCCTGAGATGAGATGGTCTTTAGTGCATCCATAGAAACCAGACTAGAATCCCTCTCTAGTTCATTTGGCTGAAGACACAGCACTTGTGCTATTCACACAGATGTGCTGTGTTGCATTTCTCTTACTAGATCAGCTATGAAGGCTGCATTGACAATCAAACCATTCCCTTCCATTTGGGACAGATCATTTCACTGTCTCAGGACATTCATCTGTCCTCCCAAGAAAAGCTACTTCAAATATACTCACTGGTGTCTTTGGTTTGAGGACAATACGGTATCTAAATACTGTCAGTAATAGTTCTCCCATAGCTAAGTCAAGACTGGAAAAAATCTTATAGGTATAAATAGTATAACCTGCAGTTTTTAAATTCCTTACAAGTCATTCATAAGGTCCAAATCATTTTGTTGGTTTTTTTTCTGTTATAAGTCTAGCTCTTTAATATTCTGGTCATGTTGACGTCAGCAGTCTCTCTGTGGGGTCAGTCATGAATTTCCTGTAGTGCAAGTGATAGGGAACTGCCACTGGATGTGATCCCTCCAGTCCTGGACCAGAGTGGTCTCAGGCATGAACAAGGTATACTCCAACCCCTGAGAATCTTCTCCAAAGGATGGTGTCCAGCTAAAAGGTATACAAGTCACTGTTAAAAAATGCTCACCTTGGGCCCCAGCTCTTAGACATTGACTGTCCAGATTACCACCAAAGCCATAGGGCTTCCATCCAAAAGCTGGAAAACAGTTTGATAAATGTTCCTGATCTGCCAGATATACACTTCCAATGGGAAGGTGCTGAAGTGAGACCATATGGTGATGGTGACCACCGTCTTCTTCCCTCCCACAATGCTGTTCAGCTTGTTTGCCACATAGCGGAGCCTGATGCTGAACACAGGCTTGAAGTGAATGAGTGGCTCATGGCAGTGATACTGCAGAAGGATGTTGTGCTTCTGGTCCACTGTAAGAAAGGGCCCAAAATTCTTGGGACTACCAAAGTTAAACTCCACTAAATCTAGAACAAATGTAGTAAGGTATTCAAACCATTGCCTGATTGTTGAGTCATCAAATAAAGATACCCTTTTTCTTTGTAAGCATTCTCTGGTTTTGTTAGAGTTGTTAATTTGGCTATAGGTAGTTTTTTGTTTTCATAACTGTTACTGGCAGTTCATTTTAATGTTTCTTCATCTCACAATTTTGCTGTTTTACTTAATTGAAATTCATAGGTATGGACGAGTTAATTATGTGTTGGCTCGAAGAATAGAACTTTTAGAAGAGGTAAAACGATTGCAGAAGAGTCTAGGAGTTCCGGGAGATGCCTCTTATACGTGTGAGACCGCAGGCTATTTCTTTTTATATCAGGTGAGAGATTAAGGGTTTTAAAATAATAACAATTTATTGTATATGATCCCCAGTTGGGAACTGGGATGGATTCTTGAGATCCTTCTTGAAAGAGTCTTTTTGTTGGGTAGATTAAAATACATACTGTTGCAAAAGCTATAATTATGAATGTTAAATGTTTGTATTTTCTGTTATTTTCAATTTTCTTTACTAAATAGCTTTGTATGGTGATGCATTCACTGAAAGGCCAGTGTTGCTAATTTTCAGTTGTTGGTTTTTTTCTTTCTTGCTATTGGAAAAGTTTCCAGGCTTTTTACTTACATATTTATTGCTATGGAAATAGAAGGTCTTGATGCACAGTGTTTAAAGCATTCAGCTACTGGGTGAAAGATAAGAGAGGTACCCTGTAGCCATTTCATAGGAGAAAGATGTGAGTCTGCTTCTATAAAGATCACAGACTTAAAAACCCTCCAGGACACTTCTCATTTATATCCTGTAGGTTAACTGTGGGTTAGTCAGCTTCCCAGTTATTGGATTGGTTTGGGTTTGAGTCATAGAAATACAATTAAATATTCTTTTCTAGTTACCTATTGAGTAACTAGATCAGGTTGCTTAGTGGTAAGGAGTTGTACTGCCAACCCAAAGACAAGCAGTTCAAATACAGCAGCTGCTCTAATGGAGAAAGATGAGCTAGCTCCTCTCATGCCATTTACTGCCTCTGAAAATCCACTATAGAGTTAGTTCTGACTTGATGGCACATAGCAGCAACAGTTACCCAGTGATAACAAAGTATAGTTCTGTAACTTGCTTTTATTATGGATAACCCACAAATGAAGAAAAAAATACATTATCCTTTCAGACTTTTGAACTAATTTTTCTTAGAACTATTTCCTTTCCTTAGAACTAATTCCTTAGAATTTATTTCCTTTCCTTAGAACTAATTGAAAATTAAAAATAAATTTAAAATTCCTTTGACTTCCATTTAGAAGTGTCCTTTCACTTTTGGTGGGATTAATTTTGGAAGTATGAGATCCTATTATCTAATTAAAATAAACTTTTAACGGTTGGTCTACTAATAATTTGAAATGGATAAAGGTATAATTAAATGGCATTGATTTTTATATAACTTTGTTCTCTTGGTATTAAAAATATTTGGATACTTTAGTAATAAATCGTAACAGTGACAGAGTGAAAGATGTATAAAAGTAGACTTAAACTTATTTTCGGTGAAGACACAAAACAATTGATTACCCTTAAAAGTTTGCCATAAAATAAAAATCACTAGGCTCTCAGTGAAAACTTCTTTGTGTGTGTACATGTGTACATAATAGTGCTTACCTTTATTGACCATATTTCTTGTGGACCTCTCCATGTGAAGACTACTCTTAAAAGTAAAATAAATAATCTATAAATTGTGGAGCTCTAAAATAAATTTCGTCAGCTGTGCTGCTTACTGGAAGGTTGACTGGTCCAGTCCACCAGGCATTCTGTAGGAGATAAGACAGACCGTTATCTCCTATGAAGATTTACTGTCTTAGAAACATGATAGAAGATTATCGTGAGTTGGAGTCAAATTGATAGCAGTGGTTTTGATTTTTTTGGTATGATTAATTTCAAGAAAATGAAACTCAGTTTCACAGTGTAGATCAACAGATACCATTCTCTGTGTAAGTAAGAATTGTATTGGGAAAGGTGTTTAAAAGGAAAGTTCCTAAGCCCTGTCCCAGAGATGTTCTTTTTTGGGGTCTAGAAAGGGATACAAGAATTTATATTTTTGTTAAGTCCTCACTCACATGCCTTCCTGATGGCATGTTTTGAGAAACACTACAGTTAGAATAGTTGATGACCTGGGACTGACTTGTAGTTGCATAGCTGACATGTGTCAAAATAGAATTGTTCTCCAAAGGATTTTCAGCGGCCAATTTTTTTAAAGATAGATTATCAGGGAGTTCTTCTGAGGTCCCTTTGGGTGGACTCTGACTTCAACCTTTCCATTTGTAGCTAAGCATGCTAACAGTTTGCACTATTGAAAGTATGTTGTGTGCATATTGTGGATTCAGTCTGTTCTAACTCAGAGAAGCCCTGAAGGACAGAGTAGAAGTGCCCAGTAGAGTTTCCAAGGCTGTAATCTTTTTAGAGCATATTGTCATCAAATGTGAGAAACTTGACTATATAATTTGTGGCAGTAGGGGAGTACTTTCTTCTTTAACAAAAAAGGTAATTTGAAAAGAAGCAGATTGCCAGTTATATTTAAACCACAGAGTGCCTGTTCCATTCAAATTATGGACCCGTCAGCAGCTGAGCACTTAACCACTGCACCACCAGGGTTCTGTAGCTAACATTATATAAGGATATGTGATTAAATTATATCATAAAATATAGGAAGTGAGCTTTTGAATATGTGTTCAATTTAATCAGAAGTCCTTTCTAAATGTACTCAAGAGATCTGCAAAAATTATAAAGACCTGGGAGATGAGTAAGAAAGAACAAATTTATTTAAAAGCTGATAAAACTGGAGTTACCATTTGTTGTTGTTCACCATTGAGTCAGAACTTACCCATAGCTGACCTTCCAGTGGGTTTTCAGAGGCAGTTAATAACATAGGAGGAGACTGCCGATCCTTCTCCCACAGAGTAACTGGTGGATTTGAATAGTGTTCCTTTGGGTATGCAGCACAGTTTCTTTCCACTTGGCACCAGAGATCCATTGGGTACTGAAACTGAGAGAACTTTTTTAAAAAACAAGATGAATACAAAATTGTCTTGAGTATATATGGAGAGTCTGTAATAACTGAGATAATAGGATCCAGTGGGGTAACCCAGGTTTCTTTCGAGTTTCTGTGTTTTTCTTTGAGAAGTTATCTGTGATCATGTGTTTTTATGACAGAAGGTTAATACATCAGTGGCTTGAATAAAAATCATTATATTGGGTTAAAGACTTACAGTTTTTATCCTTTCTGTGTAAAAAACCAATTTTGACTAGATTTCTTGTTTATTAGTTTTAATATAATAATTAGAATTTAACTGGCAGTCCTCTTTCCTGTAGGTAATGTCTCGCTGGGAAGAATATATCAGCAGAGTGAAAAATAAAGGCAGTACATTGCCAGATGTTGCGGAAATCTCCACTTTATTCCCTTTTCATGAATACTTTGCAAATGCCCCTCAGCCCATTTTTAAAGGAAGATCTTATGAAGAAGACATGGACATTGCTGAAGGATGTTTCAGGCATATTAAGAAAATTTTCACTCAGCTTGAGGTAAGGGATCTCAAGGTTATTTTTTAAATATTAAAGGTTCCAAGTTTTTTTGTTTAGTTTTTTAAATGAAGCAAATGTGAAATGTTCAGCTCTAACAGAATGAATTTTTACTTACATATGAAATTCATGAAAACATTTACATCTTTAGATTAAGAGACTCAAGTAAAAAGAAGTAATGAATTAGATCTTCATTAGTTTGGCTTTTCTGATACCAGAATACATTTTAGTCTTTAAGAACAGAATATTTCTATCAGAAGAGTCAAGAATGTTTTTTGAATAGCAATTAGAGTCAGCTTCATGACCATTCTGAATTCTTTACACTCCTTGACACAGTAGCCACGGTGACTGATCCTGCTTATTCAGAAAACAAAGGTCCGCACCATTGGACCAACAGAAAACATCATAGTAGATGGAGAAAGGATTAAAGCTGTGAGTGTTTTCATCTTGCTTGCACCAACAATCAACACCCATGGTACTTGCAGTCAGGAAATGAGGAGACATCCTGCATTGGTCCAGTCCATTGTCAGGGACCTCTCCAAAATACTTAGGAGCAGTGATAGTACTTTGAAAACTAAGGTGCTCCTGATGCAGGCTATCATCTTGTTAATCACTTGTTACACATCAGAGACCTGAACCGTGCATAAAGATGACAGAAGAAGTTATGCCTTTGAGTTACAGTGTTGGGGAATAATATTGATTATCCCATGGACTGCCAAAAGAACAAAGGGATATGTCTTGGAAAAAGTGCATCCAGGTTGCTGTTGGAGGCCAAGATAATGAAGCCTCGTCTCTTATACTTTGTTCATGTAGCTAGGAAAGGCTATTCCTTGCAAAGGGACAACAGACTTGGAATGATTGAGGGTCAATGAAGGAAAGAAAGACCACCAGCTAGGTGGATTGACACAGTAACTGCAGAGGATGGGACAGGATAGGGCAGGGTTCAGGTCTGTTGTTCCTAGGATTGCTATGGATCTACTCGACTTGATGGCACTTAACAACAGCATCAGCTAATAGTGTCTGTAGTGTGTTGCACTATTAGCCAAATGGCCATGTCATTTTGGCAGTTTGACTGTCCCAGCTTCTCTGTAGGAAGAAAGTGTTAAAATTTACAGCCTCAGAAACATGAAGACAGACCTAATCTAAGCCATAGTATTGTTTTTAATTTTTTTATATTAACTCTGATTTATTTACAAACTTTGAATATATTGATTATTTTCCACAGAAAATCATTTCACCCCTACCCACCCATCAAATTGTGCAGCCCTATGATTAACACCCTACCCCCCATTCCCACCCCTCTGTTTCTACCCTCCCCCCTCCTTAAATCCTCGTACTCATTCTACAATAATGGGTTTATACAGTATTTGTCCTTGAGAGACTGAGTTAGTTCACTTAACATAATGCTCTCCAGTCTCTTCCAAGTTAGGTAGTAATTTACAAAATGATTACTCTTGCGTGCTGCATAGTATTCCATTGTATGAATGTACCACAACTTCTCAACCCATTCATTTGTGGTTGTATATCTGGGCTGTTTTCATTTGCTTGTGATGGTGAATAATGCTGCTGTGAACATTGGTATACAAGTTTCTGTTTGAGCCTCAGTTCTCATTTTTTTTGGGGGGGGGTATATTCCAAGCAATGGAATAGCTGGGTCATATGGAATGTCTGTGTTCAGCTTTTTGAGGAAGCGCCAAACTGCCTTCCAGAGAGGTTGTGCCTTTGTATAATCCCGCCAACAGTGTAAAAGAGTTCCTGTCTCACCACATCCTCTCCAACATTTATTACTTGCTGTCCTCTTAAACTTTGCCACTGCTACTGGAGTGAAATGGTATCTCAGAGTGGTTTTGATTTACATCTCTTATTGCCCGTGATTTGTAAACAATAGTATTTTCATAAGCGTGTCAAAGTTGAACAGTGACTAAAGACCAAAGATGAATTGATACCTTTGAATTATGGTGTTGGTTAAGAGTATTGAATGTGCCATGAATGGCCAAAAGAATAAATTAGTCTTGGACTCAGTGCACCCAGAGTGCTCATTAGAAGCAAGGATGGTGATTTTTTTTTCTCACCAAGTTTGGGTGTTATTAGAGAGGGTAATCCTTGGAGAAGGACATCTTGCTTGGAAAATTAGAGGGCCGGTGAGCAGGAAGTAAGACCCTTAAGGATGAATGGACAGTGACTACAACAGTGGTGGAAGCAGAGCAGGGAACATGAGGCTCAAGCAGGATTTTGCTCTGTTGTACGTGGCATCACTGGGTTGGAGTTTACTCGATGGTACCTAAAATCAACTATATAAAAGAGACAGATGATTGTGTTTGACATTTGGGAGCATTGTTATGCTCATATGCTCAGTAACAAACATCTGTGGAAAACTGTAAAAGTCCTGTGTGAATCACATTCATGCTAAATGCTCAGGCTCCTCAGTAAGAAGGCTTAAGATGCCTCCAAGTAAAACAGAACAGAGAGACATGTAGTGTCTTTTTCATTTATAACTCTTACATGATTTTATTCCTTCTTCTAGAATCTAGCATGTAGTACTTAGTACTGTTTTATTGATTCTGAATCATAATGACTCCAATGGATTTATGAGCTTGGAAATCTGCAGGAGGAGACAGCACATAGTGGTGCTTAGTAAATACCTAATGCACGTATGATTGGGTAGATAGATGTCTGAGTGGGTGGTAGGTACAGAATGATAAGTTTATGTTGTTGTTAAGTGCTTAACAACACTTAAATGTTGTGGTCAAGTCAGAGCTAACTCATATGTGGCTCTCCAGCAGGTTATCAGAGGCATTAAATTGCACGGAAGGAGTGTACCCATCTTTTTTTCATGGAGATTTTGTTGGATTTGAACCATATGTTTTGGGTTGCCAGTGGAACTCCTTACCCATTAGGCCTTCAGAACTCCCTGATAGGTACATAATATGTTACTATAAAAATTTAGAACCTGAAAAACAGTATTATATTATTTTTATGACTGTTGTTGATTGCCGAGTCAAGTAGAACTCATAGCATCTCGGTGAACAAAAGGCCTAATTCCTTTCCATAGTTATTGTCATTTTTCCAAGTTCATAGAGTTTCTAGAGGTATGTGATTTAGGAAGTGGATGCTACTCCTTCCAAACTTGTTCTACAACTGGGAGCTCCACTGAACACTGTCCATATTGGGAGACCATAATGGTATTTGATACCCCAATGGCACAAGGTTCAGCATCACAGCAAACCCAGGTTACCTCAGTACAGCAGATTGGCAAAGAGAAGAATATGCCTCCAAATATAACAATGCTAGTATCGTTTCTTGGATAATTTGCTCTGTGTACAGATTGAATAGGTATGGAGAAAGGATACAACCCTGATGGACACTTCTTACTTTTAAACCATGTCATTTTCCCTTGCTCTGTTCTCACAGCGGCCTCTTGGCCTAGGTATAGGTTTCACGTGATCACAAGTGAGTGTTCCAAGATTCCCATTCTTCTCAATATTAGCCTTAATTTACTATCATTCACACAAATGCCTTTGCACAGTGAATGAATCACAGAAAGACATTCTTCTGATGTTTTCTGCTTTCAGCTAGGATCCATCTGAAATCAGGAATGATATCCCTGGTGCCATGGCTTCTTCTGAATCCCTCATGAAGTTCTGACAGTTCTCTGTCTGTATATT